AAGATAATCACCACTCATGTTTGCTGCTCCATCAAAGGATTTACCCACAATTTTTTCCATTTTTAAACCATTGTGTTCAAGCTCTGATTTCAATAGTTGGTATAGTCCTGCACCTGTTGCATCAGTATTTTTTTTTTATCGCAAATAATCGCTCTTTCACGTCCTCTCCAAGATTATTGTCTCCTGATCAATCACCGAGGTACCTTGACCACCATCTATATAAACACTGATTTTCTGATCACTAGTTTCCTTGATTATACAATTCTTCATCAAGTTTGAATTAGCAGCTAGAATATTGTTAGCTGTAGTCTTTGACAACATTGTTACCAAGCCTATACGTCCACGTGAACTTCCTTTCCTTTACGTTTCAAACAATCTTTCCTTTTTTTTTGACTTGCCTGAATAGCTTTTTCTATATGATTATTGAGAGGAATGTCAAACTCTGCTATCAGCAATATATCAGTTCCAAAAAGTTTTCGTAATCAATAAATTTATCGTGTAAACTGTAGAGAGATTCCCCCCGATTACCTCTGTATGGAAGAGCCGTTTATAAATCAATTTATATGCCGTTTATAAATCAATTTTATTGTTTTGGTACACTGATGTTTATGGTTGGGAATACCTGAGTTAGCATCATCTTTTTTTAGTTCTATATACACATCATATATACTTTCTTCGGTAACAACTGCACCGAGTTCTGACATACAGTCTGTTATAGTTTTTACGGGCGATTTTAAAAATAAGAAGTATCAAATCAGTTTGTTATTAAGTTTGTGATTAAATTAGGGGCAGGTTAAGGGAGGGTGGGGGGTCCTAACTCAGACTTTTCCTAATCACTTTTTTCAAATTTTAATTTTGGACAAAATAAAGTTTCTTTCGGGTCTAGCTTAAACTATCATTTAGTAAAGTAAACAGCATGAGAAAAACTAATTCACGTGAGTATTCGTTAAAAAGTCAAAAAATATTTTTCTGTCCTCCTCTAAAATATTTGGCGCCCCACCATCCTTGGCGCCCCACCATCTTGAGGGGCGCCAAGGATGATGGGACGCACCGGAAAACTTCCCGGTTTCTCGGTGGGCCAGTCCGCGCCTGTTTAAAAGCCTTTTCTCTGTTGTCTGTTATCTGTTGGATTTAACGAAGTTTAAGATTATTATGAAGGGATTACTTATAAGTGAATATATAAGGTTTAGTTTACATAAAAAAATAAAAAAAAATAAAATAAAAACCTGAACTTTTCATGCATTTTCGCCTTTAGGCATTTTTTTTGTTTTTGTTTTAATATATTTTTCAATATATTTCAATATATATTTTTTATACAAAACAATTTTTATCTGTTTTAAAATAAAAAAGTTCTAAATTACTATTATTATTATTATCTAAGGGTTATAACTTTACAAAATAAAATAATTGGCCATAATAAATAAGCCTATCAACCTTGCCTTCTAAATATAACTATGTTATGTATATTATTAATGAAATAATACTTCTAAAGTTATATATATATATATATATATATATATATATATATATATATATATATATATATATATATATATATATATATATATATATATATATATATATATATATATATATATATATATTTGGTACAAATCATCATCAATATGCTGATGATACCCAACTTTATACTTTCCTCAGCCCTGGCAAAGATAGCATCAACAAAATCATTGAGTGTGTTAATGCAGTAACAAAATGGTTTCTAGAAAATAGACTTCTGCTTAATCCAAATAAAACAGAAGCTATTTTATTTAAATCTAGAAAACAAACTAGCAAATATAAAAATAATTTGAATATTTCATTTTTTGGAACGACAATAATTACAATAAATTCAGTAAAAATCCTTTGAGTCACCCTAGATTCAAAGCTCTCTATGGACAAGCACATAAGCAATATTATTAAATCCTGCAATTACCACATTTGTGCACTAAACCAAACCCCTCAGTCGATGTAGCGGTACATCCTTGTAGGTATTACAAAGTAGTAGGTACACCGTAGGTATACGGTCCACCGATTATCTTATAGCAGGCTTAAAGATAGTCGATGAAGTAGCACTTCCTTGCAGTAGCAGGGTATAAGATAGTCAATGTAGCAACACTCCGCGCATGTTTTAAAAATATTTTTTAAAAACAAAAATAAAAACACTATTAATTAAAAAACTTTCTAGTCATTATTATTGCGGTTTTTTAAAAAACAATAATTCCTAATGTACTTCCGCATTATTTTAAATGCTTCGACTTTTAGACGACATAAAAATGTAGCTTATTTGTTGTTAAAAGAGAATTTTTTTTTTACCATAAAAGTTTCTTTCGACTACGAGATAAGGTAAACCAGTTCTTAGACGATGCATTAAGCATTTTTGTATAAATAAATAACAGTATAAAACGAAATTCAACACCAGTTATTAATGCACGCTATGCGAAATAAACGGAATTTCAGATGAAAAACTTATTTATTTGGATGAAACTGGATTTAATGTGCTTAATCAATCAAGAAATTTAATAATAAAATTACAAAAAACTAATACTAAATTAAATAAACTATCATCGAAAACAAAGAACTAATACTAAATTACAGGGTTATTCATCTGAGCGTTTGAGTTTTCTTGAAATAGTAGACTGAGACATGTTGAAGCTTGCTGCAGAATGATATTTTTTTATTGCTTCTTGCGTGCAAAGATTGTTTTCTTGTACGCATTATTCGATAATAATTTTTATTTGAAGATTTATAGGTTGTTTACCTTGTTTTTTATCAAAAAAAGACTGTCGTCGAATTGTCCTCTGTTTAACTTAACGACAAAATTTTGAACTGCGCGCTTCGATAAATTAAGAGAAGTGGAAATGCTTTTTGTAGATTGATTTCTTTCAATTAAATGCTTAAGCATTTCAATGTGTTTTTTTGTAACATTTTTCCATGTTTTACGATTGGTACTGCTATTTTCTATTCGATCTATAGGGATGTATAATTTGATATTAATAATAATTATAAATAATTAAATTTAAATCTAGATAAATAAATAATTAGATAAATAATAACTTAATTGATCAAGAAATGTAATTATAAAATTACAAAGAACTAATACTAAATTAAATAAACTATCATCAAAAAGAAAGAACTAATACTAAATTAAATAAACCATCGTTGAATGGAAAAAGTCTTCGTTTTAAGTATTTTTAACCTCGTTTACCTGAAAATAAGAAAAATTTGTTTTGAAAAAATAAACTGTTTTTTCAAAACAAATCGCTTAAATAATGTTTTTTTGTTCAAATTGCTTTTTTACAATTGCTTTTGTAAAACGCATATAAGAATGAATAAAGGCGCATATAAAAATGAATAAATGCGCATATAAAAATGCATATAAAAATGAATAAAGGCGCATATAAAAATGAATAAATGCGCATATAAGAATGAATAAAGGCGCATATAAAAATGAATAGACGCGCATATAAGAATGAATAACCCTGTAAATAAACCATCATCGAATGTAAAAAGTCTTCGTTTTAAGTATTTTTAACCTCGTTTACCTAGAAATAAGAAAAATTTGTTTTGAAAAAATAAACTGTTTTTTCAAAACAAATTGCTTTTTTTTGTTTAAATTGCTTTTTTTACAATTGCTTTTGTAAAACGCATATAAGAATGAATGAAGGCGCATATAAAAATGAATAAATGCGCATATAAGAATGAATAAATGTGCATATAAAAATCAATAAAGGCGCATATAAAAATGAATATTTATTTATTTTTATATATGCGCATTTAAATGCGCATATAAGAATGAATAAAGGCGTATATAAAAATGAATAAATGCGCATATAAGAATGAATAAAGGCGCATATAAAAATGAATAGACGCGCATATAAGAATGAATAACTCTGTAACAAGCAGAACTAGGGCCAACAACACCGGGAGAGGGGGGCAGGCGCACGTGTAGCTAGGTTGTGCAGTGTTTTGTTGCCTTATTTTTCAGAATTTCATATTAACATAGATATTTTTTAAAAATTAGAATGATTATACTTGATACTAATGATTAATATGTGTCTTTTGATTACTATTACGTACTTTGTAAGTTGATTTATTGACATACAAAACTTTGTTGTACTTTGTGCATCCAGGAAATATTGAAGATATGGACAGCAATTAACTATCTTTTACAGCCATTTAAGTTTACACATTTTTTGTTTTTCTGTCAAATTTCGTTAAAAAAAATGGGGCGCAGGCAGTCTATTTTGGGGCGCACTCTTGGTACCTATTTTCCTTAATCTGAAATCATTTGCGGGCAATAGGGGGGAGGGGGGGATGCAACACAATTAAAATTCTTTACTAAAATTTTAAGTTTAACAAAATAAAACTTTGTAAACTTTTTATTAATGTTATATATTTTTTATAAATAAGATAGTGAAGATATTAATTAAAAATTAATCTCTTTACTCATCTTATCTACAAAAAATACTATTTGCATAAAAAATAACTAATAAACAAATTGAAAATGAAAATAAAAATATTTTATAATCATACAATGAAATTGTAGGTGTATTGTAGTAAATGGTAGTATTTATGTGAAAAGCTATTTACAGGTACTATCTACACTAATTATAGACATTGTAATTTTTTTTTTAAAATAATAAACATTTATTTGAAAAATATTTTTGCTTTATGTTTGCTTCAATAGCTTTTTACAACAAAATTGATTAAATTTTTTTAATTTACCCGCTTAGTAGTTTTTATAATACTTTTAATTGTTATTGGTTTCAAAATACTAACGAAAGAAAAAGTGTAATTTTAATACAATTAATTTTTGCTTAATTTTCAAATAGTCTATTGGGCTACATGTTTACTTTTTGGTCATAACTATGTTGTATGTATATTGATATAACTTTTGGTTTAGTTACATATATTAATACCATTTACAATTTGAAATGCAATTTATTGTATTTATTGATATTGTCAAAATTATATATACAATTATTTTTTCTTTAGATTTTTTAAATATAAAACTAATATATCTCATGGTTATTACTTAATATGGAAATATTTTGACTTGCAAAATTCGTACCAGTTGTTCGGAGTGGCAAACAGGTACTGTTATTGTAAGTGTCAAAATGAGTGGTAAGGATCATTTAATTTTTTTTAATGATATACATATTTAAGACAAATAAACTTGGAACCTTTTATTTAAATATTATTTTTTTGATTTGTTTTACATTCCTAAATTTATTAGGAGACTCATCAGCTATTATATAACTATTTAATGCTTTATAACTTTTTAATGCTTTAATGGGTCGACACATATTTAAAGGAGAATTCAAAAAACATTTAATTAGTAATTTTCATTGCCATCTAACACAAATATTGGGTGCATGAATGGACACGTTCTGTTTCTTTATACTAGCAATGGTGAGTTGTTTAGCAAAACAGTTGCAAAAGTCAATGAGCATTTTAACTTGAATATTTGCTCCAGTCATATCAAAAATGTAGTGTACATAGCCAAAAACTGGTCTAAAAATTCTTTAAGAAAATATGAAAGTTGTGTTGCATTTTGTAATAAGCCCTTTATAAATCATGCACCATTGATTACAATTTCATCGCAGCCTATCTTAAGTAACACTAATTACACAATATTACATTCTGTTTTATCATTGTCAGAACACAGCAGTGTCACATCTCTGATACGTAATGAACCTTCATGTTCTGCTGGACATAAAGCAAATTTAACAACTAGGCAGACTTCAATAGAAAAATTGAGCCATAGGAAAAAAAAATTAACTAACCGGTTGTCTCATTTGTCTTCTAGATTAGCAATTTCTTCAATAGAAAATCGTAAGAAGATAGCTTCAATGAAAGCAAAATTATCCAGCCTGCCATATAAATTAAAAGTTCTAAGGCAAAGTGTTAAAAGAAAAGAAGACATTATAAAAGCCTTAAGAGCTCAGGTTAGAGACTTAAAACATAAAAACCAAACATATTATTACAGCAGACAAATTCGCAATCTTATTGCATCAAAAAAAGCAATAAAAATTAAAGAGAGAGAAAAGTTTAGAAAGTTAGCTCTCAAACATAATGCTGCGATTAAAAAAAATAAAACGGATATTACTAGCTTAAAAGATAGTTTGATCCAAATGGACGAGGACAAGATAAGTATTACAAATACAACTAATTGTAGAAGCTATCCATTAAAAATGAGAATGATAATATACTGCATTTTATTGTGTAATGTCCCAACAAGTAACATTCTATTTCTAGTAGGCAAAAATGGGCAATATTTCAGTGTTATTTTTTTTCACATTCCTTGCCGTAGTACTATTGAGCAAATGGCTCGTGAGCTTGGTAGTGTTGCTGATCTGCAGGCAGCTGAATGGATTATTAGTAATACTCATCTTACTCTTGGGTTTGACGCAACTACACAAGACGATGTTCATATCAACAGTATTCACTTAACTTCAAATGATAAATGCCAGGTAACTGCTGTTGATCAATTACCAGGTGGGACAGCTGTGGATTATGCAAGCCATATATGTAACGAAGTGGATCATACAGCTTTAGTATATTCAAACTTTCACTTGAAACCCTTTGAAGAATGTCGTCGTATGGTCATCTCAAATATTTCAAACACAATGTCGGACAGAGTATCTGTTAACCATCTTACAATAAGAAAAATTGGAGAAACTTGGGGTAAAAGTCTGAATGAATTAAACTGTCATTTGCACCCTCTTGACACAATTGCCACATCGTGTCGTTCAGCATTAAAGTCTCTAGAGCTTGATAGCTGCGAATTATATGGAAATGATTGTATAGCTGCAAAAATTATTTTGGCTATGAATAAGATGAGGTTCAAAGATGGCAAAGGTGACCCAAAGGGATTTATTAATTTTTCAGACAATAATAAACTACCACGAGGTATAATTCCAAGATATAGTGGAAATCGCCTTCACATTCTGTTCCACACTTGTTTTTTTTTTTTTATAAAACATTATAGCAAATTTTTACATTTTTTAACTATAGGAACAGTAAAAATAAAAACTTTACAAAGGGTTCTGCGAGTAGCATTTTGTAATACAACTGCTATAAAGCAAATGTGTCTATTTGCTTTATTTGGAAAACTTCTTACAGGGCCGTGGATGACAATGTTTTATGTGTCATCTGAGAAAGCATATTTTGATCATGTTGGTGGTATCCATATTGTTAAAAATGTTGTGCAAACAACTAAAGACTGCAAATGCGATCCAGCTGCAATATTTTGCAGAACAACAGATTTTTTTGGAAATGCTCTCAAAGCAAATGTGTTAGAACCATTAACAAAAATATGTAGAATTTATGACGAGCTCATTGCCATGATCTTGGCTTGCCTCAATGCAATAGAAGTGGTTTTAAATCGACAGTATAAGCGCTGTTTTTCTATTACCATTACAGAAGCACTTGAAAAAGAAACAGCTAGTGCAAGGCTTCATAACATAGATAGTGAAGAGTTAATGGGAATGTTCAGTGCTGCAAAAGGAAGATCTCCTAATGCATCTATTGATTATATATCTTGCAAATTACGAACAAAAAAGAATGGGACAATGGATTATCTGGATAATCTTGATGACTTTTCTAGAAAAATGGTAGTTCAGTGGTCTATTCAGGCAGCACGTAAAATACAAATAAAAACTCGACTACAACATACTGAAATTAGATTTCTACAAGACAGACTATAAAACGCCAAAAAATTAGAGCAACAATTAACATATTAACTATCAGTGAAATTCTGAATTTGTTTAAAAACTTATCTAATTGATGATTTAAATGATGTTATGTGTGAAAGAATTGTTGGGAGAAATCATTGCCATGAATGGTATGATTCCGATACAGCAACGACAGTCTTGTATAATGGCAGAGTAGAAAAACTTAAAAAAGCACAGAAAGATATTATATACACTATTTCTTATTGGACTAGAGAAGAAAATGATTCTGAAGCAGTTGATTATTATATAAAAAAATTCCAACTAGTTGCTGACATTGTATCCGGTGAGTTGATGTTTTCCTAATGTAAATATGTTGCATTTATTTTTTTATAATTAAAAATGCATTTTATTATCTTACTACTTTATTTTACTATTTTTTAACTCTCTATCTCTCTTTCTCTCTCTCACTCTCTCTCTCTCTCTCTCTCTCTCTCTCTCTCTCTCTATATATATATATATATATATATATATATATATATATATATATATATATATATATATATATATATATATATATATATATATATATATAAACAAATACCACACTCGGTTGAACTTAGATTACCTACAAATTCTTCTACCAAAGAAATATTTCAACAGGCTGTTCCTCTATATAATGAGGCTTTATTAAAGTCTGGTTTTAAATGTAATCTAACATATAATCCTAAAGCAATATCAACTAAAAAACGGAACAGAGCACGCAACATCATTTGGTTTAATCCTCCATTTAGCAAAAATGTTAGCACCAACGTAGGAAAATGTTTTTTGAAATTAATTGGCAAACATTTTCCTAATAATAACAAACTACATAAAATCTTTAACAGGAACACAGTCAAAGTTAGCTACAGTTGTATGCCAAGTGTGAAATCGATCATAAATTCGCACAACAAGTACATTTTATACAACGATGCAAACTCTAATCAAGAAAACTGTAACTGCTTAGATAAAAATTTCTGCCCGTTGTCCAATAGATGTTTAACAAGCAGCATTGTATACCAAGCAACTGTAACCACCACTAGCGATTCATCTCCTAACGAAAAATCCTACATCGGTGTAAGTGAGACTTCTTTTAAATTGAGATACGCTAACCACGTTAAATCTTTTAACATCCCAAAATACAAAAATGATACTGAGCTGTCAAAGCAGGTATGGAAAATAAAAGAAGCCAATTTAGTTCCTATAGTTAAGTGTAAAATTCTCAGGCGATGTAAAGCATATAATCCTACATCCAAATCTTGTAAATTATGTCTCACCGAAAAATATGAAATCCTAAATTATAAAAATACCAATCTACTAAATAAAAGGAGTGAGATTGTTTCTAAGTGCAGACATAGAAACAGATTCCTCCTTTCTCAATTTGACACTGGCGATTAGAAAATATGTTTTTTCCATAATATTATTATTATTGTTAATATTATTGCTATTATTATTATTATTATTTTTATTATTGTTATTATTATATTATTATTATTATTATAATCATTATTATTTTTGCTATTATTTGTATTATAATTATTTGACGTCAGAACTCATTCCATTGTTTTTTTTGAATTTTGTAACGGTTTTTTAATTGTATTTTTGAACGGTTTTTTCTTGATTTAAATATATGGCTGATGAGTGCCGAAAACGGCATGAAACTTTAAGTACCGTAAAAAATTTTTTTTTTACTCATCTAACCTTTTATTTATTTATATATATATATATATATATATATATATATATATATATATATATATATATATATATATATATATATATATATATATATATATATATATATATATATATATATATATATATATGTATATATAATATGCAAATCTATATATATATAATATGCAAATCTATATATATCAATAATATGCAAATGTACAGCGAGAAGTGGTACTTGCAAAAAAAAAATATAGCAAGTAGTGGAACTTGCAAAAAAAAAAAATAGCAAGTAGTGGAACTTTGCATAAAATATATATAGCGAGTAGTGGAACTTGCAATTTTTTTTGATAGGCGGCTCTGGCTTACGTTCACGTCGTGTATATTGTTAACAATGATTAATATATAGTTTCATTAATGGAATTTAATATCTTAACCATTAACTAAAAGCCAAGACGCAAACTTATTAGAATAATATTATAAAACATTTTTTGTTTTTGAAATTCTTTTTTGTGTCATCTATAACTATCACAAAGCATTGTGTGATGTATTTTGAGTTTCGGTAAAAGATGTTTTTAAATTAAAGTGTTTATTTTAATTGCATTTATATATTTTTTTGAATCTCATTAAAAATAGCTTCTTTTTTTTTTAGGTTGTCAAAAAAAAAAGGATGGGGGGGGGGCAACGACACGTCCCCTCGCCCATCTACACCCTTTGAAACAAAGGGTGCGCTGCTAG